TCATTGAGTGAATTTCACAGACTTTTTGAAATAGAACTTTTTCTAGAAATATCACTTTTATTTTTTCAGTGAGCATGCAGTGAACAAGTTTAATCAACGATGTAATACAACCAAGACAAAATAAACTTACAGAGGTAGTACTGTTTGACGTTAGAGATGTAAAGAAATATTCCGTTCATATAAATTTTTCGAAATTTCCTTCAGTTTATGATAATTCATTACAGTTACTCTTTTACTTAATTAGATTGGTAACAAAAAAAATAAGTTTCCCAATTCATTTTTCATCGGTAGATGACGTTTTGAGAACTCAATTTCAGTTATCCCCAATTTCTTGTTTTAAAAGTTTTCAATACACAACAAAAATATGCCTACTTTGTATGGTAAATATGAGTAAAAAAAGTCACATTTGCTGGCTATTTTGTACTCCCTCTTTATTAAGAATATTCAAAATTTGGTTCACTTTTTTTTCTTCAAACATCAGTATATTTTTCATAAATTCATTTTTAATATTTCTTAACACAAAATAATTTATATTACAGAGACACCTTTCAGATCAAGAATTTGAAGCGCTACTTCAAGTTCAGAGGACAGACTTCTACAGGTTACCACAATGGCGAAGAAATGAACTGAAACGTAGGGTTCGCCTATTTTAAAATTTCTCTAAATTTACTCTTAAAACTTTGCTTATTTTTGCATCATTATTCAAATAAAAATGAATGGGTCAATGAGAAGGCTTTATTAGCTAATATATTGTGGCTTTCAGCAATATTTATGTGAAAGCAAGTTTGTCATAAATACACAATAGTTCCTTATTTTTTGTTTTCCCTAATTTTAATTTTTGCAACCAGTGGTTCTGACTGAACTTGTTTTTGCCATAGTCTAAGTTTTATTAAAAATTTTATGACAAACTGACTGCCATAGGCGGTGCATATTTTTATGTTAACCAACAGCATTTTTCACTCATGCACTTGGTATAGTTGAATATTTTGCAGTTGGCTTAAGTACAACTCATTTAAAAGATATTTCGAGTCAAAACTGCTGTTGCATTCGGTTTCAATATCGAAATTTTTATTTGGTTTTATTGACGTTGTGCCGATTTTTTGTATGTTGCTGTAACATACTTTTATTTAAGGGTTTATATATGAACTTGTGAATAATATGTGAGAGGAACAAGAGAGTAGCTAATATAAATAATGGCTAAATTATAACATATTTTTTTAAGTTATAAAATTTAAGTATTAGAAAAAATTTGAAAAGCCTTTGATGAGAAGGACTGTAGGAATATTTCAGGTATTGCTTTTTGGCTAGTCGTAATTTTGTTTTTTAGTATAGGTTGCTGATAAGGTGTATATTTTTATATGGTATTGAATTATTTCTGTAGATTGCATTTATATTATTAGATTCAGTTGAAGTGTTAAGAAAGATCACAAGTTTTTATTGATGACCACTGCTAAGCTTTTCTCTGCTATGGGAGAAACTTGAATGTTACAAGCAGATTTATATTTAGTTAATTTATTGATTTGCTATTACTAGGAGGGACTTAATTCTTTCCATGCCAACAATGGTATTGATTGGTGCTTGTGTATAGCTAAAATGTCCTAGTTTCAGAATTTGTAACGTACTTGGAAGATTTTTATTGCCCTTGTTGGTCTTGGTACATTGAAGGAAGCACTTTTAAAAGTATCAAGTTATTACTTAAATGTGAATGTCCGTTTACAAAAGTTGATGACGTTTTGAGAATCATTGCCATTCCTTATGAAATAGTAATGGTGAGAAGTTAAAAGATTATTTATGTTACCTCGAAGGTACAGTATAATACACAATATTATAATGATTAATCATAGTTGAAGTATTTGAAAGATCAAGATTCACAGGTCAAAATGTAAATTTCGAGTTATTCACCAAGAACAGAAATAGTATAGCGCCTTCCTGAAAATTTGATACTAGAACTGGTGAATAATTGAGCTGTCTTTGTCAAGAAGGTGCTTCTTTAAAGGATAGATAGGTTGAGTTGGAAGAGAGTGGGCCTGATCGAGCATCCACTGCAACCCGTGAAGTTTATTGTGGCTTATGTCTATTCATAGTCGACCAACTATATCCAGTTCTCAACGAACCTGATTACTTCATTGAGTGAATTTCACAGACTTTTTGAAATAGAACTTTTTCTAGAAATATCACTTTTATTTTTTCAGTGAGCATGCAGTGAACAAGTTTAATCAACGATGTAATACAACCAAGACAAAATAAACTTACAGAGGTAGTACTGTTTGACGTTAGTTTCTCTTAGCTATACAGCGTGTTCCAAATTAAGTTGGCACCACTGCCAACTCCGTATTATTGATACTACGAATTCGATTAAATGGGCAAACTGGTAGCATTTTTAATGGCCTTCTCGATACGGAAAACAAAAAGAAATTGACAGTGGCGTTCTCAAAATATTTCACGATTGGAATTTTTTTAAGTAACACCCTATATTTTATCATGCATTTTGATTCGTAATAACATTCTCAACAACAAAGCTCAACACTTTTTTCCTAAAATTGAAAATGAGCGACTTAAGTTGAAGTATTCATTTCACTAGTACAAAAAATGTATTTGTTTTGGCAAATAAAACCTCATGATTGTTCAAACACCTAATTCTGGTACTTATATAATATTTTGTTGCTAACAGCAAAAAGAAAAAAATTGCGCTAGGATTTGAACTCGTGAAACCCGTAATCATCATGTAGTTCCACTCACTTGACACCACTGAGCTATTTGGTATTAATTTACAAAACGATAATTTCCATCTTATAGCCATTCCACTAGCCGTATTCATTTCGTTAATCAAAATATGACTGCCATAATGATAACATTGAAGCCATTTTTGTACAGAACAGAAAAGACTGGAGTGTCTTATTAATGCGGTTGAAAAAAAATGTGTTTGATTCGATAAAACAGAATTATTATGAGTAATCAAGTTGCCTTGAAACTTTGGTGAAATACTATTTGTCAATATGCACTTTCGAATCACCTACAGCGGACATTATACAGCATTCTGCAGACATCCTTATACTGGCACATGGCACGAATACAATGATTCACACGTGTCACCAATTTCACCAAAATCACTTGTGAGTGGAGATGCATACATCCTCTTTTATGAAAAGGAGGAAACAAGTTCGCACCTTGGAGCGTTTTGAAATGTTATTTTTGTACTGTTGTTTTTAATACGATGAATTAGTTATGTAAGATTTATGTTATATTATATGTAAAGTATTATGTTGATAAATTTGTCAAATGTTCTCAAGTATATCAAGACAATGTCATAAATTGTTGTAACTGTCAACTACTGTTTGAATATTTTTCGAAATTCCGTTTTCACACCAAGAAAAACGTAGTATTACTTGGTTTGCCAGAAAAATAGCGTAAGACCACTCCAACACTACAGTAATTCGTTCCCTGATCGTGAATTACCTAATCGTCGACTCAGGAACAATGAAAAAGTTTTTGAAAAGAGGAGAACTAAAAAACGTTTTGTAATACCGTAAGATACACAAATTGACGTTTCATCCTACTTTGAGGTAAATCCAAATAATTCCATCAGATTTAGCTAGAGAAATAGTTTTTCCACCGTTTGTTATTCAATGAATTCTGAAGAAACATTAGATTTCTCCTTATAAGTTAAGACCAGTGAAAACACTAGAACCTGGTGACCCTGAGAGACGATTGGTGGTTTGTGAATAAATGCAGTTAAGATTCAAACTTCTATAGAAATATTATATAGAGCGATGAGGCTAATTTTTCAAATTGTGGGATGTATAATAGAAAGAATTTTCATTATTCGAGTAGACATAATCCATTTCTAGTCCATCAACACAATCCGCAAAGACAATTTAGTATTAATGTTTGGTGTGCTCTATTCAGAGGCAGAATTATCGGTCCATTTTTCTACCATGGTTCTGTGAACGGTTGACAAATACCACAGATTCATGAATATAGAGATCTGTTAGTGTTAATATTTTTTTTATCTAAGAATATTTTTTTACAGCTTTCTCTCTGAGAAATGTTGAAATTTTTCTTAGACAACGTTTTTGCAATACGAATATTTTTTGTGTATGTGCAGACATTCCCCAGAATATAATGCCATATCTGATGTGACTGAATATAACCATTATATGCTAACATCGCAGCCTCAGTGGATATATGTTGTGTAATTATTTTCAGGGCATAGCAGTACCTTGACATTTCTGTTGCCACTTTATCTATGCGGCTCTTCCAGTTCACCTTCGAGTCAATCATAATTCCAAGAAAGTTGGGTCACTGGTTCTAAAATAGTTACACCATCACTAAAAGTATTATTTGTGCCGTTTTGGGTAAAATATATGATTTGTGTCTTGTTTTGTTCAGTTTGATATTGTGTGATGTAAAGTACTCCTCCAGAATCTTTAGCTTGAAAAAGATATTTGCCTGTAGGTAGTTGTGATCGGTTGAACTGAAAACCACAGAACAGTCATCGGCATACTGAACCATGTATTCATTAACAACTTCAGGCACATTGTTAGTGTAAAGAATGTATAATAGTGGGCCCAACACTGACCCCTGGTGTACACCTCTTATAATATATATCATTTCTGATTTCATTAGATTTCCATCAGTATCAGTATGAATCGAATTTCATGCGCTAATTCAAGTAATTTTTGAAGGGTGGTAATCAAGATGGGTCGGTAATTACTGTCACCCTTTCAAAAATCAGTGTTACTGTTGGAAGGTTTGAGGATATCTGTGAAAATAAAAGATATTGATGAAAAAATTATAGAATTGATCGACTTTTCTGCAAATTTCAGTGACTCGCTAACTGACCTGTATATATCTTTTTGACTGCATTGAACGTTTCGACAATCTCTGCCAATGTTACAAAAGTAGTGATTAAAGTCGTCGGACAAGATTTGGGGCTACAAGGAATGAGACATTTTGTGGTTTATGAGTGACCATGCCATTTTGGTTAATTATTTGTGTTCGTGATTAGGTCTAAGCATTTTATACTAGTTTCTGGGAATTGAAGGAAAATGTGAACAAACAAAATAAATAAAGATATATGTAACATACATTATATTTTATTTTTTACAAATTTTATCTGAAAAACAAAAATGTTCGACACTAGAATATCTACATCTAATTGGTGACAAGGTCTCTTATCACAAAAATACGGAGAATACAAGTGAAATGCAACCTCCTAAACAATTAAAACTGATATGATAGTACTTCCATCTGAACGAAGTCAATATCATACGTGAACAGTTGATAAGGACTTTATCACAGCCAAAACAGCGTCACCGGTGTTGATGTTGTTGAAAGACCAAATCATTTTCATCAAACAAAACTTTTTTGATATTTGGATTTACACAAAATAATTTACAGAAATTTTTTCTAGATTATTCACATCGAAAATATGGTAGAGTTCAGTTATCTACGTAAATTATCGAATATTTCTATTGTATATATAAAAAAAAATGCCAATTTTTTAGATAGATTCAAAAATTCAAACTAAAAGATGCTTCATTGTTAAATTCAGATGTAATCCTGTCCCTTTTAAAGTAGCAGGATCCACATAAAAAACTAGAATGGCAAAATATCTATTATAAAGTGATTCACTTGAAACAATCTCAAATTTCATAAATGATATAAAAAAATAAACAGTTTAGTAAAGAAGTGTTTACTCTGCAAAGCATTATTCAACTTTTCATTTATGGTCCTAGCAAATTCAAGATGTTTCAATAAGTCTGGTTCATCTACAAATTCAAAAACTGTATCTGTGAGAAAATTGTATATTTCATCATATTTGGGTAAATAATGTAAGACCACAGTCTATTGAAAAATAAAGAATCCACCAGAAGTGAAACTTATCCCATAGAGTTTATTTTTGAAAATGTTCTGTGTTACACTCTTGTGAAAACTATTACTGGAAAAAGTTTTAATGAACTACTTTAAGATATTTAACAAGTGACTTGCGCATATTTTCAGCATCTCACAATATATACCCTCAGTATGAAACCAATAAAATTATTCCATACTTAATTAATTTCATATACAGAGTACCCAGATAAGGTAATCGTCAAACTCGCATTTTCTCTGTGATGATCTGCTTCTAATTCTAATTCGAATTAATTTTGTCTTTGATACTCTGTATACCACTATCAACATCATAAACGCCTTAAAAAAAATAAAAGCACAGTGGAAGTTATGGCTATCATATTATACCTGATGTATCTCTTGGGGTTTAAAAATAAATGTACATACTATATATATTATAAGCAACACATGACTCATAATTCAAGAGACCAGAGTCGCATTATGATGAAACAATGAGTTTTTTGAAACTGGTCAAAAGCTGTATGAACTGCGCTTATTTGAAATAGAATAACAAAATTATTATTTCCTGTACATGACACCGTCACATGTACTGACATATTTCTATTAAAGAATTAATTTCAGTAATATTCGGTCACACATGAATTCAGAATCATGTGTTCGCTTTTTACATGTCAACAATGATCTAGCCCTGCTAGGAAAAAATTTCATGTACATACCACCTGGGTGAGTGAATGTCTTTCTATTTTATTAGTTGTTCCATCTTTGGCGGCGAAATCGATGAGCTGCATAGTATTAGACATTAGGAAATACCTAGATAATATTTGACAATATTATCAACTTTGGAACCATATACATAAAATTGACAAACTCAATAGTTCCCTAATAATGCCAAACGTAAAAGGTGTTCTAATATTATTTCAAATTGGATGAAATATCAACCAACCTAGTTGATAATTATATAGTATCATTTCAACAGAATGGTTTTTAACATAAACAATTCAACAGAAATATACATCATTCGATGAGGAATGGAATCACTCTGTACATTACTTAAACCTTTTTGAATATTCATTTGTACGTATGTTCCCTAGAATATGAGAGAATACTCATGAAATTAAAAAATACATTTTCCAATAATATGTTTATTTACAATAAAACATTTGAATTGAGCAACAATGAAATTAATATTTTGGTTGATACAGAGTGGAGTGTATTAGGGCCATGTTGGAATGATTCATACATACAAATATATATATACAGTTTGAAATCCAAGTTGAACCGCGTCTGGGTGTTTTTGTTTTCCGACGTTTCGGATATTTTCAAGAAAGTATGACTATACTCTGCCTACTCCTACTCCTCAGGAGACCAGTGACGAGACCTGTGGAATAGGTAGATTGAGACCTCGGTGTCAAGTCACAAAACCCTTAAAGCGTGTTACTTACTACCTGAGGAGTAGGCAGATTGAGGCCTTATCGCAGTCACATTTTTTTGAAAATGACTGAAAAGTCGAAGCCCATACATCGAAAAACAAAAAACCCTACACGACGTTTAACCTGGATTTCAGATTATCAGAATAATACACAATAGTTCCTTATTTTTTGTTTTCCCTAATTTTAATTTTTGCAACCAGTGGTTCTGACTGAACTTGTTTTTGCCATAGTCTAAGTTTTATTAAAAATTTTATGACAAACTGACTGCCATAGGCGGTGCATATTTTTATGTTAACCAACAGCATTTTTCACTCATGCACTTGGTATAGTTGAATATTTTGCAGTTGGCTTAAGTACAACTCATTTAAAAGATATTTCGAGTCAAAACTGCTGTTGCATTCGGTTTCAATATCGAAATTTTTATTTGGTTTTATTGACGTTGTGCCGATTTTTTGTATGTTGCTGTAACATACTTTTATTTAAGGGTTTATATATGAACTTGTGAATAATATGTGAGAGGAACAAGAGAGTAGCTAATATAAATAATGGCTAAATTATAACATATTTTTTTAAGTTATAAAATTTAAGTATTAGAAAAAATTTGAAAAGCCTTTGATGAGAAGGACTGTAGGAATATTTCAGGTATTGCTTTTTGGCTAGTCGTAATTTTGTTTTTTAGTATAGGTTGCTGATAAGGTGTATATTTTTATATGGTATTGAATTATTTCTGTAGATTGCATTTATATTATTAGATTCAGTTGAAGTGTTAAGAAAGATCACAAGTTTTTATTGATGACCACTGCTAAGCTTTTCTCTGCTATGGGAGAAACTTGAATGTTACAAGCAGATTTATATTTAGTTAATTTATTGATTTGCTATTACTAGGAGGGACTTAATTCTTTCCATNTATATATATGTGTGTGTGTGTGTGTGTGTGTGTAATATGTAAGTTATTCCATTTCTCAGATCGGTATTTCTTTTAGACATAGTTTTGATCTGAATACATAAATAATTTTCAAATCAATTCAACTTGTTCAACATGATATGAACATAATACACAAATATCTAGAATCATTTCAGGGATATGAAATATATATAAGAAATAATATCAATGGGGCAGTGCGTTATTGAACTTTTAATGGCAGAAGTCAATTTCATTTACGATGTTCATATCATTTCGAATCCAATAACCAACCATAACCTCATAACACAATGATCAAGACAACTTACATTTTAAAATATATAGGCTCAGTACATCACAAAATATAGTACGTTTACTTTGAAATAATGAAAAAAATAAATTTGTTCTGGCGGCTTCTGTTGAAGAAATGTTTATTCATTGTAGAAGCTGAGTTAAAACAAGAATAGATTTTTTTAATAGAAAAAACTCTAGAGTTAATACATACATACATTTTGCGTTCGTTTTACAAAAAGTCTATCACAATAACAGCAAAAGATGCAAAGTTGATCAAAAAGTTTCAAAGAATATCAAAGTTGAGAATGTTGGTGAAATATGATAAATTATTGATATTTCAGTTAAATGGGATATTTTTCCCTTTCGACTTTTCAACTAATAATTATAATCCAAGTTTATGTCACACCCTAGCATGAAAAACATTGAAATACAATGGGAAAAATGTTCATATTGTGAAATCAAAGTCCAAATTGGGGTTGTTAATGCATAATGTATCTTCATAACCGTGGAATCAAGTTATCTAATTTCTTTATTCACTTTCATATTCCACCAAGCTGACATGAATTTGTGTAATTTTGAGGTGTGTCGATATTCTTACCTAGCAGCGAGATATTTTAGAATGTTTTTTCAACTAAAAATTTGCACCAGAAGGAATTCATGAACAAACATTCACTTTTGAATCGAACAATACATCATGCAGTGACATCTAGCCAATAGACACTTCTTCTCTGAGTTTCTCAACAAGTTTGAACATTTTTCTCTTTCCGGTTTTCTCATTGCCGGAGAGATAAGACAATTTTTGACATTTAATATTTGTATTTGGAAAAACTGTATATTTGGCTATGGACTCATTGAGTAGAAACTATTTTCTTTCCATTGAATACATTTAATTCATTCCAGAACTCTGTGAATAATTATCTTTTCAATAACTGGATTGCTGTATATTCCCTCTGTATATTTTATGTTTTATAAAACAAGTACAACATGAACTAAGGATTAAAAGCAAATTTAATTGTAAATTTATGAAATTCACAATTCAAGCAACTTTGCATCTTTAGAATTTATCGAGTTAGCACAATGAAGGAACCAACAAAAATTCAAGTGTGTACCTTGGTTTTTTTAATTCCTTTCCAATGACGAGCATGGAATGTATTGTTTGACATAGTACTTTGAAGAAGAATTTCTTTAGTTTAGTTGGTCTGTTCGAGAATTTCCATCAATATATTACTGAGCAAATATGCTTACAAAAAACAAATCCCATCAATCTGTTGCCTTAATAATTTTATGTACAGATACATTTTGAAATATACATTTATTCTTCAAGTCTTTATGCATTTTTCACGAGATAAACTTATCTCCTATGTTTCGTTTTTCAAAAACAAAAAGCAACAAAATCTTCCAACTTTCGCATCAATCTATACAGTTGCAGTATTGTCAATAATCCATCAATGTACAAGTTACCAGCAGAAAAAGATTTCTGAATATCTATATCACATTTTGAAACTCGGGCTTTCCCACCACTATCAGATAGTATTTTTTGTTCCAGTTAGCAAAAAGCCCACAAAGTATAACGATTTGTACAGTATCGAATCAAAAAGTAAAATAAAACCATTTGACTGGTGAAATAATACTTACATTACAAAACATCATCAAACGAATATACTATGTGTGACAAATATCTAATATCGTGTCTTTCTGCCTGTAGTCCGTATTGTGCATAGTGTTGAAGGAAATCGATAGACTGGCTCCTGACATCGCGGGGAGCTCCCTAGGTTTGAGGTTATACGTCTCGTTTGTATGCGTATCGTCGTGACTTTCATTTGTGTCCGTTTTGGTTTTGTTTTCTTCCTCTGTAGAAGCATTATTCGAAGGCAAGCTTCTCATCTCTGGGTTTGTAGTTCCAAGCATAAATTTGAAAAATTCATATGTTGACCAACAAATACCTGTGGCAGGCATTTGGTACATCGTTCGGGCTTGAACACCTAATCAGAAACAAACTGGCAGAAAAAGCACTTTAAGGACAACTACTTTCACATGAACATTGAATTTGACGAAAGGAAAAATCCTTTCAAAACCACTACTTTTATATTAGCAATAACAAATGTTTGTATACTTATATCTTTGTATCATAATAATGAACCACAAAATTTCAAAAACAAAGATAAGTATCAACGAAATAACAATATTTTGAAAGCTGTGGACCAAGGAGGGGTGACTATCCACTATTCACTTTAAAACTAACTCTAATGTAAAATTTTCACATACATGAAGTGAAGCTCACAAGACGTCCCTTATATCTCTATTCATCACGTCTTTTAATCGCTATCAGATCCCTGTAAAGAAAGTCTGAGAGTTGCATTGTCTCCTTGAGCTTGAATACAAGCTCTGAAATTGTTGTCAGAGGTAACTTGCCTGCATGAGAGAGCTTATTATGCTCTCAGGACTAATATGTTTACTGTCAAAAAAACACACAAGAACAATAGGAAGAGATAACCATTAAGGATTGTATTTGATGTCTCCAAACAAAAACAGGTCAAACTTCACATTCAATTTAGTCCATCGCCTTTTATGATGGAAAATGTTATTTAAACATTCTGCAATCTATGGCAAAGTTGGAAAGCGGTAAGACTATAATAAAATGCCTATATACCGGTATAGTAACTCATACATATAGAATTTGCATACAATACAGACGATTATTATGACTTAGTTTTTTATTTAGCTTTTCAAAAATAAAGCCGGATGCCACCTATACCGCAATTGATCGTAGAGTTCAGTGTGGTGAATTCTTCAACCTGCCGATGTTAAATATAATCAATTTCACTGAAAAATAGTCGATAAATTTTGAACTGTTCAAATAATGACCAACAAAATAAACCTCTTAACCTCAATCATCAAGTCAAATGTTTGGTGGAATCAAAAATAAAAATTCGGTGGGGTGGGATGCTATTTCCTTAAAAATTCTGATAACTCTTCCTGACAGGGCTTTGAGTACGTTGGCAATAAATTTCTCATTCTCCAAAGGTACATTCCCATCGTATTTTAAAATTGCCACAATCATTCCTCTACATAAAGGAGGCGATCTTGACAACCCAGCTAATTTTAGGCCAATTGCTTTGCTACCCGTCTTGTCTAAAGTTATGGAAAAACTGGTAAAAAAAAACGAGTAATATCCTTCCTTGAGAAAAATAATATAATAAATTTATTTCAGTTTGGCTTTTAGTCTTCAAAAGGTACACAAGACGCCATATTTTCACTTCTGGAAAACCTGTACACCAATCTTAATGAAAGAGAGTCTGCGGCGGCCATGTCTTGTGACCTAACCAAGGCCTTCGATCGTGTAGACCACATACTACTTCTACGCAAGCAAGAAATTTACGGATTTAGAGGATCTGCATTACTTTGGTTTGAGACGTATCTCTCTCATCGGAGGCAGAATGTTCTATAAGATGGAATTTCATCAGAGGAACGTTTCATTGGCAATGGGGTCCTACAAGGTTCCGTTTTGGGACCGGTGTTGTTTCTCAATTGTATCAATGACTTAGTCCATGTTGACATAAGTGGTAAATTCACATGTCTCCCTGACGACACCACTATCCTCTGGCATAGCAATAACGCCTCAAATATACTTTATCAAATCATGGTCGACATAAGAAAGGTGAAAGAGTGGTGTGATTCCAATCTTTTATCATTCAACATCGACAAAACTAATGTGGTCACGGTTTGATGTAACATAGGGGAAGTACACTTGGAAAATGTAAAAATTGAAAATTTGGAGAAAAACTAATTTTTAGGACTCTTCATTAATGAAAATCTAAAATTTGATTCCCATGTCAACTACTAACGTAAAAGACTAGCAGCAGGATGTCATGCAGTGAGAGTTGTTGCAAGACAGTTAGGCACTACTATCACAAGATCAGTTTATTTTGCACTAATTGAGTCCTACTTACGTTATGGAATTTATTTCTGGGGAAATTGTGCACAATTTTGTTTCAATATGGTATTCTCTCTACAAAAAAGATCCATCAGATATTTATGCAAGGATAGCTACAGGGATTCATGCCCCCCATTATTTGTGAAGCAAAAAATTCTGACCTTAGTATGTCTTTTCATTTTGGAAACAGTACGTCTTATCCACAAAAAATGTAAAAATCAATTTAATACCACGTCAACTTATAGTATACGTCAGTCTTACTTCATTTCCCTTCCAACACCTACTCTAGCCCTTACACAAAATTCTATTATTTTCAATAGTAAGAAGTTATTTAATCACCTTCCCATTAATTTAAGGCGAACATATAATGAAAAAAAATTCAGAAAGAAAGTAAAAGAATTCCTTGTTGGGAGGCCCTATTATAGTGTGGACGAATTCTATCAAGGCTCTATCGAGTAATTGGCATGTAGCTTTGTGTAAACAAGTTATTGAAATCAACACGAAATGGATATCAATGTTCATTACGTAGCATTGTATATTTACATTTACTCAATATTCATATATTCACGTACTTATATTTGTATCTGTTCGGCTGGACTTAATATTGTTCTGTCCATATACTCTGTTCTTGTCTCTAAGCATTATTTTATAGTTTATTTGTTAATTGTCCCATATACAAGGTTTACTTTACTAGAATTTGCCAATAAGATGTTCAGATTTTGGGTAATAAAGCATATTTTGATTTTATTTGAACCACAAAAAGCGAGGGAGTTTGCGATAACCTCACATTAAATTAAAAGAAAAAAATATCAGAAAAGCCAACACCCTACATCATAGGTAAGCTGATAATTAAAATAAATAGAAAATCAGACTAAGGGTATTATCTTCCAGCAAGTTTTAAAGCTTTGTGTGCTTATGAAACAAAAGTGCAATAGTCCCAACAACAGTGTATGAGCAAATAAAGACTGTCAATAGGCATAGGAATTTATAAGTGTCTAAATAAACAAACATTTTACTAACCTCTAAAATAGCCCCAAGGACCTCCTAACCTATAAACAGTTTTGATGGCGTTAAGAAGACCAGTGGCTTTTTCGCCTTGCTGAGTATTCAATAGGGTTTTACAAACGTCGAGAGGGGTGGTTATGGCAGCCGCTATCCCTCCAGCCAGTGCTCCGCTAACCATGTGTGCCGCGGGGTTGTACACGCGATCTTTGTTGATCCATTTCTGCGAGAGCTCGTATATGACGAAATGTATGCTTTGGAAAGGAACGTTCATAGTCAACTGTGTCGTATAGGATCTGTAAAAGGCTTTGAGTCCCTCTTTTTGGTAGGTACTAACTGCACATTCTAATGCTGTTTTGTACGGCGAGTTCGTCATTTGCATCCTCTGCTTGACAACTGAAAAGCGTTAACTGTTTTTTTCTTTTTCAATACTAATAGACAACAAACACTCACCTTCTGCTGGATTCATAAAACCGTCGTGAATAAGGGTGGCTAAGCAACCGGACGCTCCTGTAAAAGAAAGGCGAGTTACATATTTGTGGGATAAAATGCTGTCGGTAAATAAACATATTTATTCAACTTCTTCCTTGGGATCCAGAAATAAAAGAAAAAGGGTGTAGTACTACCTAGAAAATGATCCTCTTACAATATTTTGAAAAGATGTGATATCTGCGGTTACTTCATAAAATTTTTAATACTCTATTAAGGACACAAGGTCCTTCAAAACTGTGGAAAAAACGTGAGTACCATAGGGCTGTTCCTGATGCAAAGAACGCTCCTTCAAAACTGTGGAAAAAACGTGAGTACCATAGGGCTGTTCCTGATGCAAAGAACGTTCCTTCAAAACTGTGGAAAAAACGTGAGTACCATAGGTCCGTTCCTGATGCAAAGAAAGTAGGCCAATTCAAGTATAAGCAAGGAGTATTATGAACTACTACACAAAATAATTTGCTAGAAAAACACAAGATAATTTGCTAGAAAGACTGGAGGTAACACACAAAACTCCAATGAAATCCTTGACTTTGCTAATGCAGTAGCTATACTCCAATTCACTGATAGCTGTTGAGACAAATAAATCAATGTTTTGAGAGAGTTTGTGTGAATCAACTAGGAAGTTTCGAGACCCTAACATGAAGGTTCGGGCAAAGAAGTAACTGAGAAGGTGTTCCGTCTCAAGGAGTAAAGAACAAGGAACACACAATGATAGTTGCTATATATGCATATAACGGAGACATTATTTATCTTTGATTCTCTTTGTTTGAGTTCTCGGTCGTCAATCTTTCATATGGAGTCTTGGTAAGAAGAGTCATCATTGCCTTGTCTAACTCACTGTTTTCTCAAAAGTTTTATTTTAGATCTTGTACGCATGATTCAAAGAGAAGGGTTGGTCACAGTCATTAATTTTTTTGTAGATTCAATAGACCAAGGCCTGATACTTTGTCTCTGTTGAAATCGTAATTAGTAAATCACAACCGACTTTTGTTCGCAATTTTACGTATTACGGCTCGAATAATCTAAACAAATATTTCAAATGGAATCTCTCCCAACCTACATACACAGCAGGTTTTGATGAATGCCTTCCGAAAAACATCTATTTTCCTGTTGACTCTTTGTGTAGACGCGGTGACAATTTTTGAATATCCATGAATATCTAGTATACATATTTTTGAGAAAGCGATGAGCCACATTTGAATAGCCATCTACCCTATATTTTGCCAACTTGAAGAGTAGGTGATGAACTAGGTGACTAAAAGACTTCATTCAAACTTTTCCAGGAGAGTGACGGTTTGACGAGCGATAATTATTATGTAGAATAGCTACTTAAGCAACACTACCCATCATCTTTTGATTAAAAAAAAAAACATTTATCTGCCGAGATAAATGATATCAAAAGGTATCCTTTTTGTTTAAGTCCCATCAAAGACATTAGTGGGAAAGGCCAATGATGGGTTCATTCTTAGAGTTACGTCGTGTACTAAACACTTTGAGTATCTCACTTTTGGTATTACCCTCGTAATTCAATTTGTAGAAATTATTGTTTTGTCACTGAAAGTATACCTACTTGAAATTTGTCTGTCTCGTACATAAATGACAAATCCAAGCAAACGTAAATTTAGAAATCTTCGAATTCGAATAAATACTTTACTTTTCCTGATCAAAGAATGAGATATCTATCGGACATTCAAATTACCAAATGTTAATAAGTTTTCATGTTCTACCGATAATGCGTTCTGTGTTAAGAAGTACAGATATAAAACATATCAATTTAAACAAATTACACAAAAGAGATAATTTTCCTCACATTACGAGTTAAAAATATTATTGAAACATAATTTATTCACCTTGACACTATTATACGTACGAAAAGAAAACCCAGTAAACAATTCACCTTATTGATGATAACAAGTTTGTTTACAAATATTTTACAAGTTTCCCAACAAATCAGAATAAATTGAAGTAATGAATCTTTGAAAATAACTAGAAACAAACAATCTTCTGCTTGTACTAAAGCGCAAATTCCTAATTCAATTATATTGTATGATGAATGCCAACTGGTACAAAGTTGATCAGATGACACAGTATTCAGATTACTTCTTGGCGGATACTTCGGATATCACCTAAAAAAAACGATACGTGCACTGAAGTAGAATACCAGCGATATGAAAGTGGACCTGCCAACAATTTTAGAATGGAAATCTAGAACAGGTTTGCCCCGAAGAAAAATATAAAGTATGATTAACTGAAATTCAGTGTTTTTAATTAAATCGAAATATATTAAGCACACATACTATTCTTCAGTGATCTGACGAAATCTGGCACTTTTCAAAGTGGTATGGCCGTTGGTATGACAATCTTCAATTTGAAATATTTACATTTTTCAAGTTGATAATGATTCACAAATTCAAGTAAGGCAGGTCGGTCCTGGATTTATGGCCGTGTTAGGAATCACACGTTAAAAGGTAAGACCTCGTTAGTCCTTAGCTCGCGCAAGTTTCTCAACTTCTGAGAGTTGTCGTTCGTATGGGAGCGACAGCTGATAAACGGAAAACACATTTTACAGATTTTTAAACAGATTTTCCGTATAGTGTTAAGCCTAGCTTATACCTTCAACTCGCTAAAATGCAACAGAAATTTTTGTTATATAATCGTATGAGGAATAATTTTTATAATGACCTTTATTGACCTCTGAGCCATAGGTCGCGAGATATTCGCGAAAAACTGATTTTCGTGACCTTTTGACCCTTATAACTTTTTTAACCGGCACGATATCAATGTCGATTTATCACATCTTCATTAAAACGCCATAAAGAAGGTGTATACCAAAATTCAGCTCTGTAGGAATTTTTCCGCAGATAAAACCTTAAATGACAGGACTACTCTACCTCTCTACATCCTTATGAGTTTGACGGTGATGTGATGAAGCGCTACTGTTTAATCTTAATCCATTTCAAATTGAATGCGTTAGTTACCTCATGATTTTCATGCACATTATGATTGCTCATATAATTCAAATTAATATCTTAAGGAGTTATCGCAAAATTAAAACTATAGCTCCAAAAATAAATTCAAGTGGTCTCACAAACCGATGCCACACGCGCGGTGAAGAAAATTGGCAATTGCGTTGGCTTCGTTGTATATAGTGAATCACACATATGCTCCTGCTATACGAACGAAACCGGGGCGGTCGCTAGTATTGAATACTTAGGTACACTTGATCAATGCATTATGTTAAATTGCTGGGTAAAAGGCAATTTAGTTTGTACATTTATAACATCTCGTAAGATCAGAAACATCACTAAGAATTAGAGTCTTGAGAACAGACTCTAATTCAACCTAAGTCATTTAGTTTTTGCAGGGGACTTTGAACAATACAACTGATTAGTAAAAATCCTACAAAAGTTGTGAGGTAATTGAACCCAAAAAATATGATACATTTTACCATTAAAATCACAAAACAACTTTGGCGTAGGTAGTAGAAAACTAAAAACTTTCTCCCCAAAAAAATTAGTTACTCCCAAAAATATAACCCTTTCAAATTAAACTCTGGTGAAATTTATCAGTTTTTTTTGGCTTAGCATATATTTTATCATCTTATATATTCAAGAAATATTTATGATTCACAATTGATATCTCTCAAATTGCTTATCTATATGATGAATTAATCAGGATTTATATTTTGAGTGTCAAGATAAATCATTTAAAGTATGTACATAGCCAAAAGTTTGCCAAGCAAATGATTATAGTGTAAAGAAAGCTCAAGACTGTAATAGAGGCTTTTATCTTTACTTAACAGCGATTGCTTGTGAGTAAAATTTTTGAAAGTAATGGAAGAGAAAACATACACAGAAGACAATGAACATACAACACAACGAAATCGAATGATAGAATTTAAATTATCGAAAAACTTGTGAAGCCAACAAAAAACTACTCTGAGGGCGCCTGAGGTCATATAATAGAAAGAGAAACATTCATTCACTGAATTGAAAAATATTTTATATTACTTTTTTCATTTCATTTTTAAAATATCGGAAACACTATTGGAGCAGCTTTAGCTACGTATTGAACATGTAAACAATGTGCTCAGGTTCGATGAGGATGAAACCATTCCCGAACTGTAATACTCTTTCAGACGCGCGTTTAACCAATCAATACAACGTTATCGGATGATCTAAATTGATTCTACATTTTCCATTTTCAGTATTTCGAAAAAATCCCAAGTCTAGTTTCATCTGCAGGTCTCAACAATTTCATTTCATTGTATGTCTGTTCTCTAAAACGTGGGAATGCAATCTAGTTACATAATAGCCCAGTCGAATTAGGATTTGACTACGCAAACATTTTTAATTGCAACTTTGTTTATCACAAACTTTCTCATGAAATTGAAAATAAACTTGATAATACAATGATAAGATTTCACCCCCTCTGTTTCTCGGGTATACATCGAAAAATATCGATCCTACGTAAAAGTTGATGAGGACCAAAATTTCAGGAAATTTGATTTTAAACAACGTTGTTCATTACAACGAGTTTCTCAATGAAAAAAATATCCTGTCTTTTCGGGTATAAATCGAAAAATATCGATCCTAGGAAAAATGATAGAAATCAAAATTGTAGGAAATTTAATTCAAAACAACAATTTTTCGTGAAAAATTGAAAATAAACGAGTTATTCAATAAATAAAAATCAAACCTTTATTTCAAGACGGCGGATGACGCAATGGGTCTGGTACCCCGGAAACATAAATTTAGTCTGACATTGCCCCCCCCCTTCCAAATAATCCCGAAAGAAAATTGCCAGTAAAAATTTGTGTGTTGCTGGTCCCTTTTTTGAGATAATTTGACCGAACTATAATCGTTGAAATCGGGTAATGGCCTAGTAACAAAACTGTGTTGCTCGACACTATACTCTTCTGATTATATCGTAGCATACTCTTCAAAACGAATTTCAAAAGGCTTTTCGGTATGACAACCATATTTTACGTCGCAGTCCTCGGAGCTTATTATTTCATA